TGAACCGCATAAAACAGCGCTTCGCAACCTCTTCATCTTGCGAAAATGGAATCAACGATAATTGACACGAAGTTTTATCTTGGTGCAAAACCTGCGGCTTGTAACACGAATCTTCGCGGAAACGTTATTACGTGCACGATAGATCCGACACGACTCGAGATTTGTTTTCGAATTCCTTTTCTCACGATTAAAATCACAACTTTTCAGTCTCGCCTTGCGCTATGTATCCTTTGACAGCTTGGAAAGCAGAGAACCGATGGAAATAAATTTAGAATGGTAAATCGAAACGATGGGAAATTTATGACGCCTTCTAGATTACAGCATAGCAATCGATGCGTTAACACTCGCGATTTATTTGTCCTTGCGTGCATAACTAACGTCACGTGGAAGAATTTCACATGTTCGATAACTTTTTACGTAGAAAAAGGAAAAAGAAATTGAACTGTCATATTTTATCCTGGAAAATACTCTTTAATCCCTATGAGACTCTTCTGGAATATAAGATTGCTTTTGCGAGCTCGATACCTGACATCGTGACAGATCAAAGCCACCAATTACGCGATTCATTCTTGCTCGACTAGGTCAAGCTTGATTCGCAAATTCGCGACTTCGTTACCTGCTCTTCAATTCGCTAATGATTCTCAATAATACAGCGGGCTATACATATATGTAGGTCAAGCTGATCCCTATTGAACAAACGTATTTTCGCAGAAGAAAAAATCACGTCACGTGCTCGTCTGTTCTGACATATGCCAATCGTTAAAAAGCTCGTCAAGTGGTTGTGTTATTTTTAATCAACGGTTATATTGTTGGCGTTTATTGCTACTTGTGGCGTGATTATTACGATCGGTCAGCGAAAAGTTTGCTCGTAGAGTAATAAATCAAATTCACGAGAAATTTCGTCGAATAGAACGAAATTCCTAATTTCATTTCTAATCGTTCTTCCAATGTCACGATTATTCCAGTACTCTTGCCGCCTATGATAAAGACTCAAGGATACAGAATCGATCATGCCAATTCCGATCGTGCAATTACGTTTGTCCATCCTCAATTATGCAACTGCACTTGCCATCTTCTTTTCTGTTAACTATTCAGAAGAATTCTCGAGAATCGATCACTATTTCACTGTCGAAGCGTGGTAAATATTGATACGTTCGAGAAGGGAAACGAGTTTGTCAAGGGTTAGAGGTACGTTCCATCGCAATTCGATGCATTTTCTGACCTTCTTAACAATCGTGACGAATTTCTTGGCAGTCCACACATAGTCTCGTGGACTATGCACCATGAACAAAAAACTATTTTCGTATGTACGTAGGAAATCCATTTCGTCGGCGACGTATTAAAATACGCGTACTCGATTCAAGTCCAAAGATCAGGAGGCTCGTCCACAATCACCTCGAATCTATTGTCAACTTTTCACTATTTTATACAAACGTAAGATTCCGGCGGCGAAGTGGTTGCTTGGACTTTGTAACCCAGGAAGAGAAAACGCGCGGGTACCTGAGGGTACCATAAACTAAGCCCTTTCTCCGGAAAGTCGAACGAGGGGACTCCAACGGTTTTTCAGAGCAACGCGGAATACGACGCGGAAAGGACACTTTGGAAATAGCCGTCGAGCGAGACGGACACCGGAGCACTTAGCAGTCACTTAGAACTATACTTTAATACATTTTTGGATACCACCCTATCCTGTGGTATCAATTCATTTAAGTTGTGCTTACATAAGCTCATCTCTCACCACTGTCTGCCTTATTTTATCAACGCAGAGAAGCTTCGAGCATTCTTTCCACCGTTATTTCGAAAGACGCGAGCTTCGCGACAAGTTGTGATTATTTTTTCAAACGAACACTGGCGGAATTTTTTATTTACGCCAGTCTGTCTTTTCCTCTATAAATGAACGTCTCGTACGAAATCGTCGAGTTCTTTCTTTTAGATATTACTCTTATCAAGCTTGTTTGTTATTTTTTCGAAAAAAAAGTGAATTTCCTCTAAATTTTCGCGGCAACTTAACATAATCTAGAGAAGCGTCGATAAGTCTATAAGATAGGCTTAACAATAATCTCCACAAGACGTCGTATATGCTTTGTTACGGCTTACGCTTGTCCTCACACGGAGCAGAATGTCGGTTAGTTGATAGGAAACAGGAACATTCAACGTGTGTTAACACGTCGTACTCCAACGTTAGAAGGATCCGAGGACCGTGCGTATCGTAGTGTTTGATATACCTCGAGCGGTAAAGGTATACTTTGTGAGTTTAGCTAATTCGTTACTAATCTTACTAGGAGATGGTTATTGAATATAAGCAGATGTACTTCTACGAAACTGTATTCTGTCAATAATAATGTTTAACAATGGTTTACAAAGACTGATGCTGGTTGATTCTTGACTCGGCAAGAATCTTCCTTCTCGACTTTACACTCGAGTCGCGTAGACAGTAACGTCTAGTTGACACTTACGGAATAAGTATTGAGAACTTGGTTGCTCGAAACGGCGACTATTAGAATAACGTTCTGTCTCAAGGTTCAGAGCGTTTCTGCCCCCCAGCATCAAAAATCGTGCCCTTGTATACCCAAAAAGTCACGATTTTTGGTGGTGAGGGGGCCTATATTTTCCCAGGATTAACGGGATGCGTTCGTTTATCCTATCTGATGGGCCTTCTAGGGGGTGCGCGCTAGCCGGAAGTCTCGGCTTAACAGCCGTAACAGCTTAAATATTATCGAACCTGTGACATTAACAAAAAAAAAAAAAAGAAAATGATCGAACTCGTGATATCAACATCGAATGCTATCAATTTTCTAGTTCACCTAGAAACCTGACGGAATGCGTGGGTACAGATAATTCCACGGGGATTTCACCGACAAGCTTTGGCACAGCTGTACAGAGACAATTTCATTTTCTGCGATAGACTACGATCATGGAGGATCGTTCTCGCGTAAAAGACCTTTCCGCCCAGCTCAGCCTGTTTGGCGTGGATAATGTCGATACGTGATTTCACGGCAATTTATTATCGGCAACCGATTGCACTTGGCAGTGAATCAGCTGTTCACCGATCTATCCTCTTAATATGGAAAGGCCACTTCTGATCTTATTATTTACGTGGAACGTGATGATTATGGAAAATTGTACGAATGAGAATTATCTGCGATCGAAGAGCGTAGCGTTATCTTCGTTTCGTTCCTTCCTAAATCGTAATTAAGCAATTAAACGAAAGTTCCAGGTAGAATTGGGCATTGTCTAAGTTCCGTTTTAAGTTGAACGTAGTAGAATAGCCGTGTAATTACGGAAAGTTGCCGGAGATCGTACGACCAAGTTAAAGCGAAGTATATTTAATCCAATTAAGCAATGGGATCATGCTATTGTCCAGTGCAGCCGCGTTATCGACGATGACGTAAATGGTGGTCGAGCTTTATGATATTCGCCTTCATACTGGCCACCTCCACTATCTATTACAAAACATTTACGCTTTCCTGAAAACCGAGACGATACCGAATCGAGCCGATGTTTCTCTCCTCGCCATTGCTCGCGAACTTCTAAACATAGAACCTGAAAGTATACAAAACCGAAGATAAACTTTCCTTTCGATAATGTTTACGAGCCCATAGTTCGATAATAAACTGACCAATTGATCGCTCTAATAATAAAGGCTGGCCACTTGTGATTGAGTACCGTGCCTATAATTCCATTCAAACGTCCAGTTTAATCGACGCTCGTTATTTCACTATTATTTCGTTTGTTACTTCACCCACGTGTTAATGAACATAATCTCGACGAAAGTAATTACTCGGATGGATTAGTCGAAGATTATCGGTATGGAGAGAATCCTCGAGGCTCGAAGAAAAACCACGCAACTGGGTGAGAAGATTAGATATTGAATTAGCGGTTACGCTAATAACAAGCGTTCGGGTAAATAGGTCAGGTGACTGTAAACGATGGAATCGATTGCTCGACATTTTACGGACAATGCGCGGCGTAATAAGTTAATTTCACTGAAAAACGACCGATGCAACGTACTTCCCGTTAAATCCAGACCGATGAAAAACTTATTACCAACCAGGAAATTTCATTTTTCTAGAACGACATTTCCTTCAAACACCGCTTAAAATACTTCGGATTAGTTTACTTTTGAAAAAAAAAAAGAAAAACACGATGTTGACATTAGAAAATTTCAAAGGATAGCTAGTTATTCGTAGTATCTAAAGGGTTAAACTCGCAACCAAGTTATTCTGTGATCGATCGACGAAGTTTAACAACAGACGCCTGGACAGAGCGTCAAAAAATGACGGTATCGTCACGATACCAGTGAAGCAACGCAAACACTCTCGATTTTACAAAGGAGTGTGATAAAACGGTATCAATCTGACCAGGGTCGCACACATACACGATCGTATTTTGCAGATAGAACGACGGGGAAGCATAAACATAGGAAAAGTGTGCACATTTATGGTATATTATAAATGTTCGACCTACTTGGAGTTTCAACGAATAATGGAATACAATTGATTATTTAACTACATGTACGTGGCTCGTTTTCCTTTCTAATCCGCGCATTCTTCGCTTTCGCTGTTTGGAAATCGATAACGCGCGTAGAAATCGAAAAGGAAAATATATAAATCGCTGATCGTGTATTATCGCGTGATAATATTATATTGGAGTAGATGGAAATCACGTTTACCGAGAAATAGTTCTCCTTTTCCGACAAAGGCAATCGACTTGCGTAACGAAATGTTGTTTGCAGAGTTCGTCGTTCCGCGTCTCTTGGATTCATCAAAACAAGACGTTGAAGAGCTCTCGCTGATAAGATCGTTTAATACTATCGTGCTTCTTTTTTACCAATTATTCCTTGAATTCCTCGACAAACAACTCGTGCACTACCGTTCAAATATGCTAACAACAACTTGCATAACCGAAGAAACAACACGCTAACGATAATTGATTTCTTTTTCGTTTTCTTTGATTTAATTAACGATAGATGGGATTAAAGGAATTGTCGCGTGTTTCAGGTCTAAGTGCCTGTGAAAGGAAGTCCTTTATATTCTTAAGGAAGGAGCTGCCAGTCCGACTGGCCAATATTATGAAAGAGATCCATCTGCTGCCGGACAACTTACTGAAAATGCCTAGTGTGGGTATAGTTAATAATTTATACGCCGCTTCGTTCGAGGATATCATGCAGTTCGAGAAGGTTGAAGTCAGCGAGACCACTTTAGACAAGTGAGTCTTCAACGTGAGAACAGTCTCTTGAATGATTCGCGTTCGATTCGATGCCTCGCACAAAGACAATTTCTTTCGCCTTTGCTCGATTTCAATCAAACACGTTCCACGTATCCGAGAGAAAATGACTAAATTTCAGAATCAACGTTACACTCGTCGGAAATGGAACGCCGATCCGTGGAACGTGTCGAAAAAGAAATTCGTCTTGAATTCAGACGAGAAAGGATTAAATTATGTTTATTACATTTCTTCCGTAGGTTCTGTCAAACTTTGGTGAAAATTCGAAACAGGCACAAGGATATCGTTCAAACGATGGCGCACGGTGTTCTGGAACTGAAAGAATGCCACGACGTCGATGTACAAACGGAGAACAACATTCAGTATTTCTTGGACAGATTTCTCATGTCTCGAATCTCCATTCGTATGCTGATCAATCAACACAGTCAGTTTAATTGTCGCTTCTTCTCGCGTGGTGTCGATTGCGACAAGTGTCGTTCAATGGAACATATTCTCTGTTTGCAGCCCTTCTATTTGGCAGTGAACTGAACGGGCACAGTAGACACGTGGGATCCATAGACCCGTCGTGCGACATTATCAGCGTTGTGAAAGACGCATACGAGAAAGCGAGGCTACTCTGCGATCAATATTATCTAGCCAGCCCGGAACTTTTAGTCGAGCAACATAACGGCAAGTTTGAAAAATGTTGATTGTACTAGAGTATTGCTAGTAAGTAGTACAACACGAACAATACTTCTGTAGTAAGCAGAATGTAATAACTTACCACTGTGAAGCCTCTAAATTTCACGATGCAAGATCAGAGAAATAATAAAATCATAGGTGACAGTGAAAAGCTTACGATACAGCAATTCGGTGGCTATACGACGTCGATGAAACTTGCAGGATAAAAAAAACATATCTTAATCGAAGAATTTTTTATCTAATCGTTCTTTTCCTTTTTCAGATTTCGAGCGGTGCAGCGAAATTAGAATAGTTTACGTACCGAGCCATTTGTTCCACATACTGTTCGAGCTGTTCAAGAACAGCATGAGAGCAGTGATGGAGCACTATAATAACTCCGATTCGGACTATCCGTCTATAGCAGTGATCGTTTCGCGTGGTAAAGAGGACATTTGCGTCAAGGTAACGTTTACAAACTGTTCCTCCTAGTTATGAAAACGCCTATACGGTTGCTCGATGAATTATCCAAGCATCAAGTTCATCAATAAGCACCAGCTCGCGTGAAAATTGAATCTGACGTTTCGTCAGCGTTCTATACACATGTATCCAATATCGATGCATCGGATATTCGACACGAGACTTGTTCGTAATCATATCGAATCAACCTGGGAGAGCTTGTTCAACCGTCAGAGTCAATTTTACATACGATAACCTTAGGAAACTTTACCTTATTTAATATTTCTCACAGATGTCGGATCGAGGTGGTGGCATTCCTCGCTCCCAAATGGACCATTTGTTCAAGTATATGTACAGTACGGCACCTAGGCCAACGCAAATCGACGCTCATACTGTTCCACTGGCTGGTTATGGTTACGGTCTTCCAGTGTCACGATTATACGCCAGATATTTCCACGGTGACCTCGTCCTCCAGAGTTGCGACGGTTATGGAACCGACGCCATCGTCTACCTCAAGGTAAATTATACATCTCTGGTGTCTTTCAATTACATAAGATTACGTAACTCTCACAACGTGACATTCACGTTTGTTACGTTCCGTGATGATGGATCGAGTAACCGTTTTATTGGACAGGCTTTGTCGAACGAAGCCAACGAGCTGTTACCGATCTTCAATAAAACTTCCTCCAAGTTCTATCGAACCGCCGTGTCGAACACCGACTGGAGCAGTCAATGTGGAAGCGGCATGAACACCAGGCAATTGCGTATGAGCAACGATCAGGGACACAAATTACCTCGTGGAATGGAGGTCAGGAATTGCTAGCGAAATTCCAAACGATGGACCAAAGATTAAAGGAAGTAAGTATGCTGAGTTTGGAGATGCTTCTCGCGGAAGTCGCAGACGTACACACTTTGGAAGATATTTTAAATGTTCGAATATCGTAGCTGTATGTCTATTAAATTTCCGGTGTTCGCTTTGGAACATTCCTCGCTGTATAATTTTAAATGTTTCGATTATTATAGACACGCGGTGTTTCACGTAATTTCATGTGTGATTACATTACAAAAAGGAAAAACAAAAAGAAAACGAAAAGCAAAAAAAAAATGAATAGAAGCACTCGTCTATGTGTTTACCGAACTTTCTGATGGAAAATTGTTCGAGAATATTTCACTATTCCAAAGTGTCGAATTCCAAGCGGTGATTCAGTTGGATTAAACAAAGCGTTAGCAAAATTCTTTTCGACGGTAGTAACGCTCTGAATGTCTGCTAAATTTCCAACATGTGTTTTCGCGTTCTGTACCGAAATCATTCTTAGTGTTTCAGTGTTTCCTTTTTAAAGAGGTGTTTCGCTAACGAGCACCGATCTCGATCGACGGAACGTCGAACTGTGACAGATTGTTGTATCGGGGCAACTGCTTTCGCTGTTGTAGGCGGCTTGGAACTAGCCTTGCGACTTTCGTGTCACGAATACGTAGAAAAACTAGCGGTGATCCACGATCTAGACACAATTCTTGCGCGATCGTTGGTCCTAGCGAAGAAAAATTATAGTCGATTTGACCGCGGCTGAAACAAACGCGGTTACGACACCTACATATCACGATAATTGAAAAATTCGACTGCTCTTCTTCCCTGTATTTCTTCTTTTTCTTTTTTCTACGTTATTTTCTCTGTCCGTCACGCGTGCCTGATATAGTTAAAGAGAAGTGATGAAACGTATGGGGCACCCAGATGATTCGAA